AAAACCCAGTTCCCAAAAGGAATGAGTTGTCCTATGCCAAAAATGTCATAAACCCGATTTTTCGATGCGAAGAGGTTAAAAAGGGGGAGCGACACTTAGCCTTATGCAATTGAGGAGGCAAGGCTTAGCCTCATGCAAGAATTGAGACAGAGCTTAGTCTCATGCAAAGAGAAGGCAATGCTAAGCCTTATGCAAATAGGGAGGCAGGGCTTAGCCTCATGCAAGATTTGAGACAGGGCTTAGTCTCATGCAAGGAGAAGGCAATGCTTAGCCTTATGCAAATAGGGAGGCAAGGCTTAGCCTCATGCAAGATTTGAGACCGGCCTTAGTCTCATGCAAAGAGAAGGCAATGCTTAGGCTTATGCAAATAGGGAGGCAGGGCTTAGCCTCATGTAAGATTTGAGACAGGGCTTAGTCTCATGCAAAGAGAAGGCAATGCTTAGCCTTATGCAAATAGTGAGGTAGGGCTTAGCCTCATGCAAGATTTGAGACATGTCTTAGTCTCATGCAATGGGAAAATAGCAAATAGGAGCAGAATATTTCTTAGCTGGAGATTTATTTGCGCTTGGCGGTCTGGTTATTATGAAGGTAATGATTATGAGGTGCACGTACTTGTGGTTATTCCTTGTCCCTGCACCCAAAGAAAAATCGTGAGTTTTGCGGGGAGGTTGGTTATGTCTTTGTCTGCTTGTTTTGCTTTGCTTTGCTCTGGAGATCCTGTTCGAGTTACCCTGGGTTACACCTTGGCTGCCATAGAAATAAAGTTTTCGAAAAATATGCACTTATTTGATGAAATAGAGTTACTTTAGAAAACATAGTGGNTTTATGTTCTTTGCTTGAGGAGGTATACATGAGCCTTTTTAGTGTTTACATGTTTCCCCCTTATGTGCAGTCCTATGTGTTTTTGTATGTCGCCTTAGCTTTTTCACCTTTTGAATCCTAAAAGTCAGCCTAATATCCCTCCCCTTTAGGAATAGTAGTCCTAAGTTTCTCCGGGACTGATAGGAATGGGACGGGTAATAGCATGCAATAGTGGTCGAGACCAATCCGCGCTTTAATACCTCGACGAGGTGGGAAGGGTAGATATGGATATGATGACCGGTGCGCTAATACCATGTGTAGCCCCTCTTGTGAGGAGTGATTACCGGGTATTGCATTGATGTGATCCATATTATAAATAAACCTAGGACCCCTTTTCTTTTCATTTGCCACTTCTTTTCAAAATCCGCCTTTTAATAATTGCTCTTTCGAACTTTTTTGTGTATTTAAAATCCCCTCTTATTTGAGCCTGTTTGTTTACTTGTTAATTGCACAAATTCACAAAAACTATCTGGCCGGGAACCACACTAGTGGATCCTGAGGGGTGCTTAACGCCTTCCCCTTAGGATAATTTCAAGCCCTTACCCTATCTCTGGTTATCAAACAAACTTAGAAGTGAACCTTATAGGTGTCCTAATGCACCTTAAATCATTAGGTGGCGACTCTTCAAATGCAAAACCCAGTTCCCAAAAGGAATGAGTTGTCCTATGCCAAAAATGTCATAAACCCGATTTTCCGATGCAAAGAGGGAAAAAGGGGGCGCGACAATACTTGGATCTGCATACGAAGTTTAGGGTATAGCGTGAGTACAACCAACTCAGTAAGTAACAAGTCTAACTATTGTCAGAGAGCGGTGACAAGCTTCATATGGTATAGTTCAATTATAGAAATACGATACAGAAAGTAGACATGCTTCCAAATTTAATAGATAAAGCCCAAACAGGTAGGATATGCAAAATACAATTGAGATAAGAAATGATGCCTCTCGACATCTACATATCAGTTACGTATGACAACTAGAGTACCAAACAATTATGAAATCATATGCATACTCTTAGAGTATCAACCGCTCAGTCCTTCCATTCACTCCATCCTCACAGTCACTCATTCCTCATCGTCACTCCATCCTCACAATCACTCAATCCTCCTGACCACTCGGCACTCGCACTTGCACTCAATAGGTACCTGCGCTCATTATGGGTGTGCAGACTCCAGAGGGGCAAATCTAGCCCAAGCGCTATAATAAGCCAATCATGGAATGAATCAAAAAAAAAGTTGCGGTGTGCAACCCGATCCCATAAATATCCTCACAATCCGGCCCTTGGCCTCGCTCATTTATCAATCTCTCCAGTCTCTCAGGCTCACAAAAATCATGAAAACCAGCCCAAACAATGATGATATGATGTATCAATAAATGGCACGGAGACAGAGATATGATGTGCAAATAATAGCTGTGTCTGAGTACATAATTTCAAATTAAGCAAGTAATTCAATATGTAACACGACCTTTGTGGGACCCAACAGTACCAACGTCTAGCCTAAGCATCATTTCTAACTTGACTTGCAGCTCAATTTCTCTAACAGATGGGGAACATACAGATAACGCGAAGATTATGCAATTACAGTTCCGTGGAATTTACCAAGTCACAATTCCTATGGTGAACTCCTACACGCCCGTCACCTAGCATGTACGTCACCTCAACACCAATCAAATAAAACGTAAGTCAAGGTTTCATACTCTCAGATTCAAGTTTAGAAGTGTTACTTACCTCAAACCGAGAAAAAATCTACTCCACTTAGCCCTTGCCTCACGAATCGGCCTATGAATGTCTTCAATCTACCCACCAACAATTCGATACAATCAACACGAGCTAAAGGAATCAATTTCATATGAAAATACTATGTTCTTAAGCAAAAGTCAAAACGTCAACTCAAAAGTCAACCCTCGGGCCCATGTCTCAGAATTCGATAAAAGTTACAAAATAGGAACACCTATTTAACCACGAGTCCAACCATACCCAAATTACTCAAATCCTATACCAAAATCTCGCTCAAATCCCCAAAATTCGGCGCAAGAAGTTTTCTTCATTTTCCCTAAATTTTTAACCCAAATCACTAAGTAAATGATGAAATCAAAGATATAATCATAAAATTAACCAAAAGTAAGTAATAATTACCTACCCCAATCACTCCCTTGAAAATCTCTCCACGAATCGCTTCCAATTGAGCTCCCAAAATCAAATTTGTGAAATCAACTCAACCCTCGTTTTTAAAATATTTATTTCTGCCTAGATGTCCCTTCTTCGCGATCGCGAAGCACAAACTCCACTACCCCCAGAACTTACTCTACACGATCGCATACAAACTCACACGAATGGGATGCATAGGCTTCCCAAGACTTCGCGATCGCGGACAGACCCACGTGTTCACATAGAACAACGCGGATGACCATATCTTGCCTCCTTTCCTCTTCGCGAACGCAACTTAGCCCATGCGTTCGTGATGCACTGATTCCGCAGCTTACACGATCGCATACAAAAACTCGCTATCACATAGAAAAAAACCCCAGCTGCCCAATTAACCTACGCGATCGCGGACCTTCCCACAAAATCGCATATAAGGAAACCAGACCTGAACACCAGCAAATCCTTAACAGTCTTCCAAGTCCAAATTAATCCGATAACCATCAGAAACCTACCCGAGGACCTCGAGACCTCATTCAAATATACCACCCAGTCCTAAATCACGATCCAAACTTAGTTGAGGCCTCAAATCACGTCAAACAATATGAAAAACATGAATCACACCTCAATTCAAGCCTAACAGAAACTAAGAAACTCCAACTTCAATAATCGATACCGAAAGCTATCAAATCAAGTCCGATTGATCTCAGATTTTGCACACAAGTCATAAATGATAAAACGGACTTACTCCAACTCCCAGGACCCGAATCTGAGCCTGGTAACCACAAAGTCAACTCTCGGTTAAACTTCTAAATTTCCACAACTTCTAATTTTCCAACTTTTGCCATTTCAAGCCTAATTCAATTTCGGACTCCAAATCACTATCCTGACGCACTCCTAAGTCCAAAATCACACAACAGAGCTATCAGAACCATCAAAACTCTATTTTGGAGTCGTCTATACATAAGTCAACATCCATTCAACCTTTTCAACTTAAGCTTCCTACCTTGAGACTAAGTGTCTCATCACATTGCGGGACATCTCTGAAATCAAATCAACTACCCCGACAAGTCACATAGCAACAATTAAGCATAAAATGAGCAATAGATGGTCCAAAACAACCGGCCGGGTCATTACAACATCCAGCTTCAAGAGGATAATAAATGATTGAACTAACTAATTTTGTTATAAATGCGAACACCACAGAAACAAATTTTTGGATTTTGTTTGGGAAGATTTAGTTTTTTAGATTCTTAAGTGATGGTTTGATTTAATTTTCAATGGTCTTGGTTTTCAATGGGTTTGGTGGTGGGTTTGATGATAGTAATTTAATTTTTAGTGATTTTGATATCCGGTGGTTTTGATGATGATTTCTGGTGATTTGATTTATTTTCGCCGAAGGTGGTGAAATAGTAGTCTACGACTGCGACAAAGTTGTTGGAGAAGAAGGAAGGAAAAAGAAAAAAAAGAAAAAAAGAAAAATATAAAATAAAACAGTGAATAAAAGTAAAAACAATATAAAAAGAAATGATGTGGGGTTAAAATTGCTTCTAGAACGCCTAATGTCTTTCTCGGCGCACGTTTAGCCAAGGTAGGCTAACTTGCACCATCGATGGAAAGAAGGCGGAAACAACCATTAATGGTGAGCTCAACTGTAACTCCGACACCCACAGGAACTGAAGCATTCACACCATTAACATTTGGTAGCTTCCTTCCTACTCGATTCCAACCAATTCGAGAGGAAATTGAAATAATTGCTGAAGAGGAATGTAATAGTGACAAGCAATGGAACAATACAGATCTAGTTGAGGAAAAGGAAAATCAGAAGTGCAAGGGCCAATTGCCAACAATTCCGCGAAGATTACAGTTCTCCAAAACAGGATCTTCGGCGCAACCTTCCCCAAATCTAGAACAACATGCAGCAACAACAAATGGAGGAAACAAAACGAAACGAAACAACATGCAAAGGAGCTTAGGCAGATAAACCGCAATTCTCAGATGGGCATGAGACTGGAATATGTACCACCAAGTCATCGAGAAGGTAAGATTGTTGTAGAAATTGTTGAGGAAGATGTGAAAGACTTGAATGACCACTTGGCAACTGCCTTAATTGCTTATGTTCTAGGTGATACTCCATATGAGAAATCTATGGAGGCTTATATTGATTCAGTTTGGGATTTTGTATCAAAACCTCAAATTATGTATCATAGTGATGGCTACTATGTTTTTAGATTCTCAACAATTGAAGATAGGGATCTAGTAATGCAAGCAGGTCCATACTCGTACCATAACAAACCATTCATTCTGCAGAACTGGGAAAGAGAATTTCATTTTGACCCTAAATGTATTACAACTATTCCATTGTGGATTCATCTCCCTAGCTTACCTGTTGGACATTGGACTGCAGATGCACTTAGCAAAGTGGCTAGTGCTATTGGAATTCCTATGTATACTGACGAATTCACGGCCGATCTTAACAAAAATTCATATGCAAGGGTCTTAGTGAAGGTTGATATCACTAAGCCAATGCTAGAGAATATAGAGATTGTTACTCCATCAGGTACTATGCAGCAGGAAATTCTGTATGAATGGAAGCCAAAGTTCTGCAGTGAATGTGTCAATTTTGGCCATGACAATTTTGAATGTTGGAGGAATAAGCAGCAGAACAATGAAGAGGCTGAGTTTAAAGTTCCAAAAAGAAGGAATAGAGCTAGAAAGAAGAAAACATTGCAGGAATGGAAGCCAAAGGAACAACAAGAGCAAGATGGAAAAATAGATGGGGACGGAGAAGAGACTCAGCAAGCAAAGGCAGGTAAGGGTAAACAAAAAGCAGTAGCTGAAGATACCCCTACACTAGTGACACAAGTGATCAGTAGAAATGAAGAGTGCAGGAGTCAGCATAGCTATAGTCCTACAGCAATACAACAGTCTCATAATGATGAGGGCATCACTACAAATAGTTTCAAGATTTTGGAAAAGTGCGTGCCAAGCACTTCAAAAGGAGATGGGACTGGGATTGATCCTACACTCCAACCACCATGATTGTGTGCACTTGGAATATAAGAGGGCTGAAGCCCTATAAAAAGAAGGAGTTAAGACTCTTTCTGCAAAATAATAAAATAGATATCCTTGGGTGTCTAGAAACTAGAGTAAAGGAAAAAAGGCAAAGAGTACAATAAACAAGGTAGCTAGAGATTGGGGTTACTGTTGCAACTACACTAAAGCTATAAATGGAAGGATTTGGCTCTTATGGAAGACACACCTGATAGTTAAGGTACTTTAAATACATGAACAATTTATTCATTGCTCAGTGGAAGATCAAGCAACAAACTCCCTGATTATGTTGATAGCAATATATGCTAGGAATAAGGTGCGGGATAGGGCAAGCCAATGGCATGACTTGCAGATACTAGGTGGTCATATACAAATACCATGGCTTATTAGTGGTGATTTCAACAATGTGTTAACCACTGAAGACAGATTAGGATAGCCAGTGACAACTAATGAAGTGCAGGATTTCAAGCAGTCTATTGATAACATGCAACTGACCCCACTAAGAACAAAGGGGTGCTTCTTCACCTGGTGCAACAAACAAAATGCTAATGATAGAGTTAATAGTAAAATTGATTGGGCTTTTGGAAATTTCAGTTGGACTTAGACTTATAGACGTCTAGAAGTTGATTTTCTGGAACCTAGAGTATCTGATCACTCCCCAATTGTAGTTCAATTATGGAAGAGAAGAACCTTTCCATCCAAAGCCTTTCAAATTCTACATGGTGACAATGGACCATAAGGACTTCAGTCCTATGGTGAATAGAGTATGGCAACAACAGGAAGAGTAGGATTCTATGGAACTTATATGGCTGAAGCTAAAAAGACTAAAAGATGAGGCTAAGAGTCTGAAACAAGGCTATGGCTAGTTATGAACAAAGACTGACTCAAATTAGGCAGAGTCTGGAATGTGTTCAAGCAGCTCTGGTCACTGATCCTTTTAATAAGTTGTTGATTGAGTAGGAGAAGCAGCATATGAGTGATTTGGAGAAATAGAGTACAATATAAGAAAGAATACTGAGGCAGAAATCTACAGCAATATGGATTGATTATGGTGACTACAACTCTAAATATTTCTATGCACAGCTGAAAATAAGGGCCAGCAAGAATAATATTACTTCGGTATACAATGACTTGGGGATGAAGACCACTGATCCAAAAGCTGTGGAAAAGGAGTTTACTAAATTCTTACACAGCTAATGGGGAATGCTAATGGATTAATGCCATGCCCTAATACTAGTATTATTAATGCAGGAAACTGTCTCACTTTACAGCATCAACATAAACTAATAATGGATATAACTCATGAAGAGATTGATGAAGCAATCAGGGATATGCCAAAGGATAAAGCCCCTGGAGTGGATGGTTTTCCTATAGAACTTTTCACCAAGCAATGGGAGACTGTGAAGCAGGACTGTTTACTGTGAAAGTGGTAGTAACAATTAAATTTGATTTTGTGAGGTTCTAAAAATATGTGATCTATTTTTATGCTAGTTGTTAAGCAGTTGATGCTATGTGAGGGACTTAGAAGCGAAATAAGGGAATGGGATGTTAATCAAACCGAGTAACTGCCAATCGGGACCTCGAGCTCGCCTATTCGGGGGCCTCGGAGTCGAGTCAGATGCTCGGTTGGGAGATATCGAGGGTAGTCGATGGACGACTAACAATTATAATGAGATCAATGACGGCTCTTTATGGCCAATAATATGCAATAAATGATGAACAATGAATGCAAGCAATGAACGAAAGCAATAAATGAAATAATGAAGTCAAGAAAGTGTGTTAGAGAGCAGAGAGAATGTTCTTGTGTATTAAGTATTGAGCATCAAATGTCTACAAAATGACAGGGATCCCCTTTATATAGGAGGGGAAATCCCAACGTAGTACGAATATATTAATTACAAAGATATGGGCTTGTACAACCATTTAATGCGTTGATCCATTCTCAGACTAGTCCACTAGGCTTTGTCAGCTCTAGTCACGTGCCTTGGGAACTCCCCACTTTCACCATAATCGTCGGTCTATACTGCACCGAGGTCGAGCGTCGACGACCCTCGAGGGAGGAAGCTCGGCCGTAGTCTCGAGCCTTCGAGACGTGTTTTCGAGATGTCGCAACGACGGGAAATTGGACCCTCCGATTTCACCGTATACAGATAGTCCCCGCATCTCTTAGAGTGGAACGATAAGAAACGACCTTGATATCCATCTCTTCGAACTTCCCGTGATGATGTCATATTGATGATGTAAGCCTTTGCGATAACTGAAACGCCCCATCGGTTCGTCCTTTCAGTATCATTCAATATGCTGTCGACTCTGATTCTCTAGAGTGATAATATCGCCGTTGATTCAGTTCCCAAAAAACACATTGATTGCGCCTGCTGATACGTCTTTCAAGGGCATTAATGGGGCCGCAGTTACGCTGCCACCCCTTATAAAAGGGAACCTCCTGGAACCATTTCCTCATTCAAGTGTTTTCCCATATCCTTCCACCTCTTCCTTCTCTTCATCCTCTCCCTTGGAGATACCACTTTGGAAGACCGAGACAAGAGGAGATGGCGCTCGAAGATACTACCGTCGAGGATGCACCCCCGAGAATAGATTAGGCTCTAGGCTTTAATTATATATGTACACCATTTTGCTGCTTTGTTTCAGTATAAGGACCCTTCGTGGGCTTTTATAATAATATGTAAGGACCCGTCGTGGGCTTTGTAACCGTTGTCTATTTATGGAAAAGATGTTTCTTCAATTCGTCTCTGTTGTATGCTATATTTCCCTTTATCTATGCTTGTGCAGAATCTGAGTGCTTGACCCTACCGATTGTTGATACCCAATTTTTTCCTACATATTTTTATACTCAAAATATTCTCAAAATAGCATATACATACATATATAAGCATTCCCAAAAGTTTTGGTATTTTTCCTTTATTTTTAAAGATTTTTAAATCAATTTATTGTCTAATTTTATACTACAAAATTCAATAATTATTCCCAAACTAGCATTTTTGGTGAATAATTTATTTCATTCTCATATTTACACTAAGATATAATTAAGGTAATTTTTGCGAATTTTTTATACATTTGTTTGGTATTTTTAAGCTAAATTGCATATAATTGCAATTATAACCTATTTTCGATTAACAACATTTCATAATCATAAAATCACTTTTAGTATTTTTACATTAATATTTATATGTTATTAATTAGTTCAGTACCTTTAATTTATTTTTAAATCATTTTTTTACTATTTTTATAAAATGATAAAAAGGGAAAATTGCCTATTTAACAAACAGCCCTTAGTATTTCAATTATAGCCAAATTGGCCACACCCCTATCAGATTTTTAAAAGGCCCAATACCCTATTTAAACCAACCCAGCCCAACCCTCCAAAATAACCCGGTCCAATCTTTTTTAATCTGAGCCGTTGATCAAATGAGATCAACGGACCAGATTTAATTCCCATAATTAAAATCAATTATCCCCCCCAAACCCCTCATTTCTTTGAGACCGTCTCTCTCTCTATATCGTCTCTCCCTCTCCCTTCTCTCTAGAACCTTCTGGTTCTCTCTTCTCCGATGAACTCCACCGCCTCTCCGGCCACCTCCAATCTCACCCCATTCGACCATCAACCGCCATGAGACCCTAGATCGCTGGTTCTCTCTATTGATATCCCAAAACCCCCACCATGTGAATCAGTCCATAAAAAAAAGTTCCGCCTGGTTTGTTTCCGGCCATCTCCGGCCACCTCCCTTTCACCAAGGCTCCGATGGGCCTCTCACCGTCCAGTTCAAAACCTCTAGGACCTTCGAGGTTTATGGACCATGATGGTTGAGACCTAGGGTTCCTGGTTCTGCTACTTGCGGGTTCTCCGGTGTGATTTCAGGCGAAATCACACCCTATACATCACGATCTATGAAGTTTCGACAGGTTCTCTCAACTTTTGTTAGGGTTTTCCCTTTTGAAACCCTAACTCTCTCCCGAATCTCTCAAAACAGCGCTATTCTCATGATATCTTCATGTTTTCCTCTATGTTCTGCTTATTTTCGAGTTTATTCTGAAAGATCTTTTACTTTGAACCACCTTTTACTTTCTTTGAAAATTAGGGTTCTTAGATTTCTTTTACGCATGCTTTAACTGATTTTCTTTATGATTAAATTTTTTCTTTGTTTATTCTGACCTGTTTCTATGCTCTCACTGTTTTTAATTTGAGTCTGCTGAAAAACCCTAATTTCTAAAATGTTTACTTGTTTGATTATGGGTGTTGGCATGTCTCTTTGCCTTGGTTATGTGTGTTAGACTAATTTTCTTGGCCTCGTCTCTATGTGTTAGCATGTTCCTTCGTCTGATTATGCGTGTTAGCACGATTCTCTTTACTCTGATTCTATGTGTTTTGCATGCTCCTTCGTTTGATTGTGTGTGTTAGCCTGATGTCCCTTGACTCTTGTTAATGTTTCATGGTCACCATGCTTCGAATATGTCCTGCTGAATCTTAACTTGTTTTTACTAGCTCTGAGTGATTGTGTTTGTTCATCTCTTGTTCCCCTTCTGTCTATATAGCTAATTTTAGCTCGCTACTTTTGTTCATTCACCTCTATTTATATGTTAAAAATGCAGAATCATGACTTCACACGCCCGTTTTGAATTAATTGGTTTTGTTACCTTATTTGTTATAGTACTCTGTTCTTTTAAGCCTTTCCTTAGTACTCTGATCCCCTCCTTATTTATTCGTACACTGATTTTTCCTACTTGCCTTATATGGTGCTGAGTATTTTCGTTTGATTTTGATTCCCTTAATTAATGGGAGTACTTCCTTGATTCCTTGATTAATTGATTCCGAGTTCTTCAATTAACATATTTTTGTGATTTTTACCTTATTTTACCCCCTGCTTTCAACTATAAGTACCCTAAGTCTTTTACACAAACACACAACACTCTTTTGACTTACACATCACTGAATATTTTCAAATCTGCATTCTCTCTTGCTCTCTTGCTCC